GGAATGCGGCTGGCAAACGAGTGGAACCGGTCAGAAGCATTTCCACCCACCCCGCCTCGCGCTGCCCCTGTCCTGCTTCTGCAGCTTGCTCCTGAGCTGCCTCTTCTGCTAGTGGCACTGGGGCTTCCAGATACTTTTGGGTGTAAAGCGGTGACCCTTCTTGACAGGGGGCCGTTGATCCTCCCACAGACGCTGCAGGGTGCAAGGCAGCGTGAGCATCTTTAGAGTCACGAGGTAAATCCCCATGTCCCACAGGACTCGACAGTGCTACAGGCATCCTGCCCCGGGGTGGGCTTCCGGAGCTCTTTGTGACCCACCTGTCTGTCTATCACGAAGAGCTCCAAAAGCCCACCCCAGGGCACAGGTTGCTTTTAACGCTGTTGATCCGAGTGTGCGTATAGATGATTTGTACCTTTAAAATTATACATATACACAAGTGAAAACTAAGAGCTGGCTTCTTCCCAGGGGTGTCTCGAGTCCAGCAAGGCTGACATTGGTATGCAAATGAAGCACATCAGTCGTGCCAGGATGTGTCGCAGCGCAGCTGATCTCCTTCGTTGGGTGGAAACAGACGTTGCCCATTGTCCTGCAGGGTCGCTGCTTGGAGCAGACAAGGCCTGCTTTTGTGGGGCAATGCTTGAGGGTCCCCCTTTGCAAATGGGAAGAGGAAGTTTTCTCACTAGCAGGGGAGGGCCTGGGGAATCCCTGGGCGCTCCTCTGGTAGTGGGGAAACTGGGGTTTTTGTGTTCTTTGAGATGCATGCCTGTAGTCTTGAGCTAACTTCAGTGCAGTCTTCGGGCTGGGATGGCCAGTTGGCTGTTTGGCAGCCTTGACTCCAGGACCATGCTGGAGTATTGATATACATGTGGGGAATCCTAGATGGGGTGTGGGATTGGACCCATGAAGGCCTGAAAGCGTGTGCCAGGGATGGCTGCAGAGTGCCGGTAGCTCTGTGTTTGCTTGTGTTCTCTCCCATCATGAACCAAACAGATGTCGACTGCGAGGTGGTAGAACAAAATCATACCACCTGTGTTGCAGCCACAAATTACAGGGGCTTTGTGCTGTGACAAAGGACCTGGATCCCTGTTTGGTTTTTGTTGCTATAACAATTTTTATGGTGGTGCAAAGGCATCATCTGTTTACAGCCTTACACATGCTTCTGACCTTTGCATCTTGTAGACAAGTGGGAAACCGTATATGTCAAGTAATCAAAGGTCAAATGTGACTTAAATTGGCGTGTTGTCAAAGCATGATGGAGGGAGGTTCAAATTCTGTGAATTTTTTTTTTTTCTTGGCAACTTGCGTTTACCAGCCTTGGCTTGTCTGTAGTCGTTTCCAATAATAAAAATGACTAGAGTATCTGAAGAGATCTTGGACACGAGGGGCAGAGCTTCTATTTGGGAATGTTTTAAAAAGTTTTATTGGAGAAAATGAAGCAGCTTTAACAGTCCAGGAGAAAGATTGTTCATTTGGTACACTAGGCTTTCAACCTTGTATTCACTTGTTGTTCGTTTAAAAATAAAACGCGTGCGTGTGTGATATAAAAAAGAAAACAAAAGTCAATGGTAGAAAATCAGACTTAAAAATCAATGCAAGATTGTATCATTAAGATAGAAAGTTAGGTCTTTTGCTATAAGTAGTCTTTTTAGATTAAAAAAAATGAAAAGAATGAGATCCTCTATTGTGATGGTTGTCTTTTGGTGGGCATAGTGTAAGCCTGCTTCAGATGTTGGCAAAGAATTAATTGTAAATACATTGGGTGCTGGAATCCAGACCAGCACAATTAGAAAAAGTGTTTAAAACAACAAAAATCTAGAGGCTCTTGCTTATCAAGGTCTAGACCTTGATAAATGAGGTATTAAGAGCTATCTAGGAGGATTACCTGTGTTTATATTAATGCAGCTGAATACAAGGGGCATTAAAATGCTTGCTGATAACTGTATATTTGATAGTGTTATGGGATATGATTAGTGTAACTCAAGAATGGCAATAGTGAATGTTTTAATTTTCTTGCCTGCAAAATGTTTCTTATTAACCTTAGGCAGCTGGGACTGGATGTAAACTACTATGTTCACTATTATGAAACATGAACAGGTACTAGACTGTGCTAACTTACTGCAGCAGTAGGAGTAAAAGTGGGAATTGAATGACTGAAAAATAATGAGGCTCATATGTAGTTATTGTGTATTCCCCAAGGACCTGGAGATTCTAAACTTGTGCCCGAGAAGTCTTGTGTCAGTGGTCTGTCTGCCATATGCCAGGTGCTGCTGTGACCTGATGTCCCAAAGTGTCTTTCCTAATCCTTGCTGAAGGTTGGTGGTAGGGTAAACAGTGTAGAAATGCTAATGAGAGAGAATTTTTGAAGTGGCTCTTGCAAGAGATACCAGCTTGAAGGAGCCGGAGAGTCAAGTAAAAATTTCATTTTGCATGTAATGGCAGTCCAAATTCCTCCATGTGCAGTTTGTGCAAGGAGTAAATAGTAATCCTATTTCTGTGTGTTCCTTTCTGCATTCCATTGCATGCTAGCGAAGCTAGTAGTTGTAAGGTTGGCTTTTGCATTGAGGATGTTGCTTTTTTGACTTATTGAGGATAATGTAAAATGTGGACATCAGAAACCTGCTTAGCAGTTATTCTCTGTACTCTACCTAGAAGGCATCCTGGACCTATGAATTCATTCATTGTTTTGCAATGCATAACAGTATACCTTTGGTTTTCCCTTGTAGATAAAACAGTATACCTCTTGTGCTGAGGTAAAAACAGTTCTTATTGATCCATTACACAGGAGTCCATAAAATAACGAGCTTGAAAGCACGATTTTGGCTAGTGTCATCCTGAAAAACATACTATGCATAACCACCTTCTAGAGTAGTGATTCTTGATCAGGATGCCCCAACACTATTAATACTGCTAGGTATGTGAACACCTATGTATAATTCAAAAGACAAACCCAGAGATTTCAAATGAGAATCCAGTGTCAAAAACATCAATCTGCTGTGGTCTTCCTGGGTTATTTGCCACAAAAAAATTGCTGGCATTTTTTTGAGGAATGCCTTGAGCCTAAAAATGTTGAAGTGCTGTCCTAGAAGATGTAGGCAGTATGCCCAGTAGAGAGCATTTTGTACTTCTGTTTCAGCATGTGGCATTGGTTGCATTATAAGGACTTCCCTGCTGAATGTGCCTAATGTAAGGTCTCTAGCTGGGAGGTGTATGCATGATGCCTGTTAAACAGCATTCTGATAAAGTAGGCTGTTGCCTGTGAAAGCTTATACCGCTCTGAACCAGATAATCTCTAAATTGCTATGCTGCCCTGCCTTCTGCCTGACTTTAGACAAACCTGGAGTAACTACCTCTGTTACAGGATGTGATTGCTCACCCACGCTCTCTGTGTGTAACTTGATGAGGTGCTGAGGTTTAAGGGCTTGAAATCTTAATGTTTGTTTCAATGCTGTTTTGCATTTAAACTATCGGTGTAACCTACTTAATTTGTGGTTTTGTGGATTCCTTTGAAACTGTGGAATCCAGGGCTGACTGCAATACCCACGAAATCAACAACAACAAAAAAAACCTTAATAAAAAAATTGCTGGCTCCCCAGCAGACACCAGCAGTCCTTGCTGGCAGAAGGGGAAGGCACCAGCTGGCAGGACAGCACAAAGAGCAGCAGATAAGATGGCACCCACCCCCTTTTCCCTCTGCCCCCTGAGGCGTGAGGCCACCACAAAATGCCTGCAAACATAGCTCTACATGCCATGAGCAGGCTGCGGGAAACCCTTTGTCTTGCTGCAACTTAAGTAGGTCCTTAATTAGTGGTTATAACCTATGTCAGTGTTTCCCAGATTCTTCCATCCCATGGCACACTTACATAAATAAATAAATAAAAAAAAAATGTGGCATACCACCCCCTTGCTCTGCCCCCAACAGATAATGTGACCACTGCCACCACCTACCACCCCATGCTGCTGCTGGTCTGCAGAGCGGGGGAGGGGGTGGTGTGTGGAACTGGCTGGAGCCATGCCCCCCAAGACTGTTTCAGACGGAGCGTTCATTTATTTGTGTGACTTTTCCAAGACTGGCACACCTGTTCATGTCTGATAGTACACCAGTGTGCTGCAGCACCCTGGTAGGGAAATGCTGACCTGTATATCAGAATCAGAGCAGCAGTAGTGTGGAGGGAATTCTGCAAGTATTAATGCTCTTATAAACAATTTTGGTAAATCTGAACAACTGTTTTAAGAGGAGACCAATATGGTTTGCAGAAAGCTGTCCAGTGAAGATAGGAGTGCTCCTCCCTTTTTATGTTACTTTTACAAGCAACTATGGAGGGTTTGGAGTTGGGGGCTGGAGTGGGGGAAATACCATTAGTATTGACTGGTGATTACTTCTTGGTCAGGGAAGTAGTTAATTAGTAGTCAAGGAATGCTAATAATTAAATAATGGGATGTAGAAAATTGACATATGGGTTATTCAACGATTTTAAGTGAAAGGATTTATATGAAATGAACTGTCCCCAAATACTTTAGGTACTGCAGCCAGAAATAGAAAAAACAGAATGGAAAGAGGCAGAGTTGGAAAAAGAGGTGGAGAAAGGGGCTGTGCCAGACAAGAGGAGCTGCTGAAGAGAGCTTTTATGAAAACAATAGCAAGACTCTTTAAAAGAGGATAGAAGTTCCTTGCCTAGCAGGGGGAGGGGAGCTCTAGAGGCAAAGATACAAGCAGTAGATGTCACAAAGAAATTCTCAGTATGTTTGAAGTCCTTATTATTAAGACTGCTCATCATACTAAGCATGACTGTTTATAATGAAAAACTGTTTTAAAAAGCTACAGAGAGACTTCTGTACTCTTGCCCTGTCTATTCCTGGCTGCTTTTCAGTACAGCTGAAAACAAAATGACTTGTGCATGATGCAAACACAATGGGTGGATACATTCCTTCACTGGGAATGGCAGAAGATTTCCAAACTAGTATACTTAAAGGGCGTACGAAGTCAGCAGAACATACAAGGGATGAATCTTGGCTAAGCTATAAAATTAGCCATTGGAGTGCCATCCAATGTTGGACCTTAAACTTTAAAAAAACTGTATTAGGTCCTCCAGTCTTACTTGATGGATGAAGTGTGTCCGACGGAAAGGTAAGAAAACTACTTGCAAGGTGCAGGTCCTTTAAAATGTGCATCCTTGCAAAAGAAAGTGCAGACAAAAAAAATAGAGATGTCTGTCTGAATGTTTTTGTATTTAATGAAGAGCAAGTGTTTAAAACTTGTTGAAGTTGTCTGCTGCTATAGTAGAAACTTCTGTCAGATTTACTTTATTTTAATTAACTATTAGATATGTCTCTAAATACATGTTGCTTGCATGTTACGATGCAGACTCTCTATCTAATCCTGTGGTTTTTGGTGTGTTGTTTTGCTTTGTTTTCTTTTTAAGGAAAGAGAGTGACTGCATTGGAGAGTCTGAAGACGTAGAGAAGTTGTCCTTTGCTTGGAATACACGTTATGAACCCTTTCTGGAGCATGTCTACAAGTTCTGCACGCAAGGTAGATATTGTAATGAATGGAGCATATTCATTACAGAGCTGTTCATCTCTCTTCAAACTGCCCTGGACAGTATTGCAAAACAAATGTGATCTTAAATTAACCCAATAACTATCTAAAATAACTACAAATCATGGACTCCAAATTGGGAAGGAAATCTCCTTAAGAGGATTATAAAAATACTAAGCCTTTAGTCCAACCTGGGTAATTCTAGAGGTACAATGGGAAGTAGCGGTAGTCAGTGGCTAAGATTGCACTCTGGTGAAAGTATCTGATGTGCTGCTTTTACTGCAGCGTAATGTCTACATTACTTGTAGGTTGGAATCTTTACGCAAAGCTGAAACTTGTGAACACCTCAGAGACGGATATTGGTAACTTGAGCCATGTTGCTGTTCTTAGCTAAACTTGTTATGGTTTTTATGGTACTGATGCTCTGGGTTAAACCAATGGTTAAGATGTAACTAGACCTTTGTCTTGTAAAACCTAAAAAAAACCTTTTGTGCCCCACTAGAGATTCCTTTAAAACCCATCATCATCATTTAGGTAAATGATTATTACAACCTGCTATTTGCAGTTATCTATCTTCAGCTCTGCTGGGGAAGAAAAAGCATAGCTGCATAGCTTGCTGTCACAGTAGTTTGCTTCTCATGTGGTTGATTGTAATTGTACCTATGAATCAAAAACCTACCTTAGTTTGCTTTCTTTCCAGCCTTCATAGGGTGGCTAATGGCCATAGTGATGAGAATTTAGATAGGAATACTTGACTTATACAGACGTGAGGATTTTTTCCTTCTCTAAACTGCCTGTTAAAGGACTCTTATCTGCAAATCGTAAGTGTGGAGTCAGTCAGTCAAGTAAGAATGCTAGGGAATGACATAGTTTTACCATCATGGATCTTGCATTAATTTGACTAATTTGTGATAAACATGCCTTCTCAAACTGGAGCTGTATTGCTAAACTTAATGCACATGATTACTGATCACTACAGGTGTTGTGCTTCTAAGTGTAGCCTTCCTTCCATTTAGGTGAGGACATCTTTTTATTTAGGTTAGTGAAATAAGCATATATCCTTCAAATTATGAATAACTTGAGTGTTTATGGTGACAGTGCTTTAAAGCAGTGTTTCTCAACCTTTCTGTGGCACACCTGTTAAGGCATTCCCCATGTGCTCATTGCTGTGGCAAAATTTCTGTGGCACAGCTGTTCAGAGGCTGGCAAACTGCATCCCCCACAACCAACACATGTGCAGTAGATGAATTTCCTTCTGCTTGGCTGGGCTTCTTTTTGTCTCACAGCCAACACATGCACGAGTCTTCTCCTGGCACACCAGTGTGCCTTGGCACACCAGTTCAAAAGGCCACCAGATGACTCCTAAAGTTGCCCTTTGGGCACTGCCCTTCACTGGGGATAGAGGCAGGGGCAGAAGGTCTGTCTTTGTTTCTGTGTTTGGTTTTTTGAATTCAGTGTTGTGTTTATTGGAAGGAAAGGAGGGGATGTGTGCATCTTTTGGGACAGCCACAGATCCTTGTAGGAGAGAGATGTGGCTTGGGAGGGACACTGCGGGGCCCAGGGGGTAGGAGGAGAGGGATCTCCCTTGGGTGAGACGTAGGGGAATGGGAGTGAGTAGCTATTAGGGAGGGGATGAGTGGGAAGAGGTCTTGTATACACTGATATGTGAATGGGATTAGGAAACACTGGTATGATTGGGAGGGTTTGCCCTCAGGGGCTAAACACTGACAGTCAGAGGCTGAATTGATTCAACTTTTGCAGATTAGTCTAAACTGCTTGGACTGAACGGAGAAGCAAGTCAACACACAGTCACTTTTGATTCCAGAAATGCAGCCCACATGCCTGCAGTGGCTCAGGCCAGAAGCTGGGGGGGGTGCTAGAGCATGCCTCCCAGTCTGCTGGCCGCTACCAAAGGGAAGGGAGGGAAGCTGGAAAAGAAGCCCTCCAAGGCTTTTTCCCCCCACTCTCCCTGCTTAAGAGGAGGGGGGATGTGGTCAGGCCCCAGCCTGGGGCCAGCACACTGGGGAGGGGACTTTAAAACCTGACCCACATGGGGCTCTAGCCCAGGTCTGCTGGGCAAGCTGCCAGGCTTATCCCCCACTCCTGAGCCTGAGCGACCATGCTGAGGGAGATCTGGTCTGCACACGACCCCAGCTGGGGTCTGCCAATGAGGGGCAGTCCCTGCCAAGTTTTTGACCCTCTGCTTCCTGTGGGAGGGGGGCAGTCCCTACCTGACATTTGCCCTCAGGATCCCTGCCTGGGGGGAGGGGGGAGGGGAGGAACCCTTACCAGGCTTTTGCCCCTGCTTTGCACTCAAGCAAAGAGCGGGTAGCATGGTGGGGCCAGTACACTGAGTTGGGGAGGGAGCAGGGTGTTTAAACCCACTGGGGTCTCTGGGGGGGGGGAGGGGCAGTCCCTGCTAGACTTTTGCCCACACTGTTCCCTGCTCAAGCAGAGTCTGCCCCTACCCCCCACTTCCCAGACAGACCCTGGCTGGGGTCCTGTGTGAGCCAGTGCGTGGGTTTAAACTGCCCCTTCCACTCCTGCCCCCCACCCCAGCATGCTGGCCCTGGCTGGGGCCTGGCCATACCTGCCTCTCTGCTTGAGCAGGGGAAAAGCCTGTGAGGGGCTGTTCCACCCTTTCTCCCTCTCCCCCAAGGCAGACTCCATTTGGGGTCCAGACTTGGGTACCCACACCTCTTTCTCAACTAGCTGGAGCACTACAGCTAGGCTTGGCTGGAGCAGACAGCTCAGCCTAGGGCTGCATAGCAGCCTGAGATGCTGGGAAACTGTGAGCCAGCTTGAACTAGGAAGGGGTCTGGGATAAGCTTCATAAACTGGTTTGACCTAAATTGGTTAGGTCTGATACTATATCTAACCAGGTTTATCTTAAACCAGTTTCAGACATTTTGAAAGTGGCTTAAGTGCCCTGAACTTCTGTTGTTACAGATTTGAACTGGTTTCTGATCACTTGAACTGGTTTATGTGCAACTTCTGTCCCTAGTCAGGGTACTGGCAGGGAGGTTGGTGGGGGTGGACGTTTTAAGGTTATGGAATGTCAAGAACCTCTTGTTTCTTATCTTGTGGATTGTCTTCTGTTGTAAGCTGGCTTGAGCCTTTTTAGGTAGGACAGGAGATGCATATCTAAAGAATGAATGAATGAATAGGTTCATAACACAGTTGAGATGACTCTGCATTATGCTACCATTTGGACATACATTCTCATACAAAGCTCAGTCTCGGTCCTCTGTCTCGGATTACCAGCAGTGGTGCAAGTGATAATGGTAGTATTTGTTTGGGTGTTTTTCAGTTAATCCAGTTCTCAAATTCTTAACAAGACATGTTGGACCTGACTGCTTGTGATCCTTTTGTGGGCAGATAGCCAACTATAGGTTATGCTGTCTAATGTATCAAATTGTTAAGCATCTGTTTAAAGAACATCTGTATGTTGCCTCCGTGAATGGCTTCTGCTGTCTGTAATTCATCCATTACCTGGTTCTGATTCTAAAACACTAAGGGCAGGCTAGCATAATCAATGCAGTTATGATGTGGCTGCCTCAGCACAGGATTGAAGTGCAAGGCATTCCTTACTGCAACTCTGTTCTCCAGAATGTAATACTTTGTTTCACCTCTGCTTTACTATGCTACTTCTAAGATCCCACTGTGCAGTGTGTAACTAAGTCTGTTGGGGGAGTTGTTACAGTTCTCTGAGTATGGTAGGTGCAAGGAATTGACCGGTTCTGAAACTAGTGTTTTAGAGGCAGGTATCAGGTTTAAGTAAACATTGTGAAAACTTTTATAGAATTGCTTTAATTTGTAGACCTAAACTAGTAGATACTGGCTGAAGTTTGAGCAGAGTTCTGACTTTATAGTAACAAGGTGTTCCTAATTAAGTTGAATTCTGTAAAGGAAAGAAATTTGGTATCAATCAACTGTGAGTTTATAGGAACAAATAAGATAGCAACTCTAAATCCCAAGTAAAACTTGGGGGTGAGTGGGGAGCATGTGTATGTCTGTTCTATAAAATCTTAAACTTGCAGTACGATTCTCGCAGAAACTTGAGTGGAAATGTCATGTGCTTTATGTAACAGAGACCTGAAGCTGAAGAAAAGACTTTGACTGGAGAGCTGAGAACCAGTCCTCCACGCACCTCTACAAAGAAACAGTTGCCTTCTATTCCTAAAAATACTGTGCCAGTAACTAAACCTGCTTCCCCTGCCCCTTCTTCCCAGTCTACAAATGGAACACATGCCTCCTATGGGCCTTTCTACTTGGAGTACTCCCTCCTGGCAGAATTGTAAGTTGAATATATAATTTTATTTATTTAATTTTACATTTTTCCCTTTTTGGCCTTATGCTCCAAAAAACGCATGTAAGGACCAGCACTAATGGTTCTTGTATTTTTGGAACTTTGTGAGAATAATATGCATAATCATTTATGCAGAAAAGAATACAAAATTGCTTGCATCTGGAGAGGGGTAAGTAGCTTATAGAAGGTGTGGAGCTTTAACGTTCTGACAGGATGTCAGAAACTGTTTTAATGCCAGGAAATGTCCTCTCTGGAAGCAGCAAAAAGGCATATACATCTCTAATTGGAATAGACTCTACTCCTTTCGTAACTTTTTGGTAATATGGGGTAGCAGGTGGACTGCCTCTTTCATCCATAGAAATAGATGCTAGTAATGGAATGGTCCTAATAGTCTCTAGCATGAAGCTTTCAAGGAGAGGAGCTGCTGCAGTGTAAATAGTCAGCATTTTGCTTTTCACAGAAGTGTCCAGACAATTTGGAAACAAGTACCTATTTATTTATACAACTTCATTTTAATAACTTGTTTATCTGTGTTGTGAAATAAGTGACTTGCAATGCTGTTTGTGGATTCTTAGCTGTGCAACTGCTTTTGGAATGTAACTTCTTTAAGCCCTGATGCAATGCTAATACTCTGCATTAAAAATTATTAAGTAGGAAATGAGAGCTCTTGTAAAAACAAACAAAACAAAAAACCAAAAACCTTTCTATTAAGAAAGTTATACAAACTTCTGCCTGAGGTACATTGTGTGCATGTGGAGGGGGTGTCCATCCCCTCTGACTGTGTGAGTCTATTTTATGATGGCATTGCTGAGTATCCCAAAACAGTTTTAAGTAATTGCTGATGCATTAGGGCAAATGAGCCGCTTCACTTATGAGGGCTTCGGTAACAAATAATGTCTGACCTACTTGTATCTGATCCTGTTAGTATCAGTTACTTACTAGGCCAGTAGTGGCCTTCTCTGTTCGGTAAGTCTCAGTCCTCTTATTCTGTATTAGCGTGGTAATGACGAGTTGTTTTATATCAGTTGAGCCCAACCTTTTTTTGCAGGCATGCCACAAATCAGACTGTTACCCTCCCTGAGGGCTGCTCCAGTCCATCTGCCACTGTGCTGCCTGTCCCCTTCCCAGTGTACTGTGTACCACAGACAGGCTTCCTGTGCCACTTATGGCATCCATGCTGCAGTTTTGCGACCCCTACTATATGTCTCATAAAGGGGAGAAGGGGTAGAGGTGGGTGGGAAACGGGTCATATTGCACTAACAGATGTGACCTAAAGTCACAAGTTGATGACTTGCATGATAAATGTCAGGTAGGGTAGGGGCTCAGTCTGCCTCCTTCTCTTTGATTTGTACCAAATGGCTTAGCCTGTTCCTGTTGGCATCGTACTTGTACACACTTCCTTGTTCTTTTCATCTCTTGCAGGAAAAACTACCTCATTTGTAGGTAAAATCATAGTTTATGATTGAAAAAGCATCTCTAAGTTGTATGCTAAGGATGGGTTCCTTTTTTTTCCCCTCTCTTAAGCTATTACGAAGTAGTAGCCGGTGCATTTGTCCTAAAGTACCTCTGTTAGTGTAGCTTAAAAAAATTGCCTGTCTTAATCTTCGCTTTTAATCACGTTAAGACCTATGAACTGAAGACACTCACTATAAGTAGACACTGAAAATATGTTGGCATTTTAATATTTAAAGATTAGACATTCAACTACAGTAATCCTATAATAAAAAGCAGTAGTGCACTATTGGAAAGCAGTTTCCAATAGTGGCTGTATATACACAAGAAGCTCGCTACACAGTAGCTTGTTACTACTGCGCAGTGGTATTGCAGGTCAGGAACCATGATGCAATGTTATAGTGCACTGTAGTAACGAGCTAGAGCGCAGTTGGTGTCACCATGAAGCTGTATGGGAACACTACTGCACAGTAACACTGGTTATTGCTCAGTCATTTAATACTTGTGTATGCAAGTACTCAATGACTGTGCAGTAACAACTGCGCAGTTAGCATCTCATGTAGATGTGGTCAGTGTTCCTGTAAATGAAAGGGTGGAGGGAAACAATTTCTTAGTTCCTTGCTCTTTCTCCTCTGAGCACGTATAACTTTTAACAAGGGATTTGCAGGACATTTTAAAAATATTAGTAGACCCTTTTCTCTTTTCCTCCCTCCCCTGCCGAAAAAAGTCTCTCTCTTAATTCCTGCT